CTTAAGTCTAACTTGTGGAATTGAGGCATCAGAGCTACACGGGCCGGTGCGCTGTGCTAATTGTGATCCATATCGGTCAGATTATTTTTAGCTTTTTTGTAACAGTTTGGTCGCAATTTAAAAATGGTTATACCATTCAAGGTCACTGACTCCGTTCACAAAAATAATCAAATTTGACGAGGATTGTATCAGCAACCTCTCAAGCAAAATATACATAAATTTTCGCCATAAACGTCACATCAGTGAGCTTTCGTCTGCAAGGTCTTTATGACAGAAGACTTCAAACTAATTGACAAACAGCCCTGGACTGTTGCATCGTTTTTCATTAGGTTAGTTTCTCATTAGCTTAGTTTTTGTATCATCTTTATGATAATAACTGACAGCTTTGCAGATATGGTAAAGCTCCGCTCTTCCCTCAACATACGATGCGTATTTGCTGTTTTTTCAGCAATCATATGATGTAAAGTAAGATCAGTTTGCATCAATTGTGTAAGCACTTCATTGCGGACCTTGCATATGTATATATATATAGAGAGAGAGGAGAGAGAAGAGATGAGGAGGAGAGAGAGAGAGAGAAGAGAGAGAGAGCGGAGAGAGAGGGGGAGAGAGAGAGAGAGAGAGAGGGAGAGAGGAGAGAGAGAGAGAGAGAGAGAGGAGAGAGAGAGAGGAGAGAGAGAGAGAGAGGAGAGAGGAGAGAGAGAGAGAGAGAGAGGAGGGAGAGAGGAAGAGGAGAGAGAGAGAGAGAGAGAGAGAGGGAGAGAGAGAGAGAGAGAGACCAAGATTCGGTGGTGTAACCCACATTTCGATCTTGTCAGTACAACACAACACGCGAAGGTCATTAATCCATACGAATTGGGACTTCTGTTTTTGGGTCCGTTTCACGCTTGCCAGTCAACCTTGAGCCTGTTGGAATGTGATCGACTACTGTCTTGTTATTAAAGCAAACCATGGGTAGCACTCATTTCCTAAAGAAAGCTACTGAGGATTCAATTCGAAGAATATTCGAATGTAACGACGCTGCATTGTCTAGTGCTGTTTACAGGTTCGAATGTCTCAGGTTATAAAGTGCACTCGTTAATAATTATTTGCAAATTTAAAGGTCAGGTGCAGAATTGCCAGTTCGCAGCGTCCTTCAGAAAGCTCCTGTGATGGTCGCTAAAGAAAGCACACTCTCTTCAGTGGCATTACAAGCAATAGTGGACAGACGAGGAAGCAGACTGGCGATGACAATGTTCAAGCGGATTTGTGGCTTGGTTGGAGATGACGAAGGAGGGTAATCATTGGGCCATGCAATTGCGTCCAAGAACTTTCAAGCAAGGGCCGATCATGCCGATACATATATGCATATCATGCTCCCCACAACCCTTCGCCATACCCTTATGACTATAAAGACCTGAACTTGTCCCGATGACAAAAGATCTTACGAGTTTCATACGCCAATCGGCATGAGACCTGGGCGGCGCCGGCTCAGCCCAGACGCCAGGGTTATACTGTACCGCAATTCTTCCATGTCATGCGGGGCAGAGAACTGCGGGAGATCGGGGTGGTGGGGGAGGGAGGGGGAGCTGCTACAGACAGACTGATACTCCAGACCACGTCCCCGCCTTCCGGCCCACTCGGATTTAGTCGCGGAAGAGCTGAACGAAGAACCATGCCGTCGGGTTCTTTTCACTTCCGAGTTTGGATGAGTATAAGATCGGTTGTTTGTCAGGCATTTTAGTTTTTGCTGCGATATTTTGTGACGTCTGTGCTGGAAAATAAGCCATATTCTACTCAGAACACACTTTTGTGAGGGGCTGAGGGTGAGATGTATGAATTCGTCAGGAGTTGTCATGGCTTACATGAAATCGCATCTTGCAAGCATGTGCTAAAATGACATCAAATTAATATTTGAAATATACCTCATTAGATCATTTCAATTCATCCATGGATGCGCATCAATATCTAAGATCGTCTCAGATCAGTTTTGATGACCGTGAGGACCTTCAGACTGCTGACTGTAAAAGCTGATGACTATTGACCATTGACTGTTTACCGTTTCTGACATCCATGAGAAGCTCCAGACGTTGCTAACTGTTGGGGCTTCGCAATGGCTGTTTACATGGAATGGCATAACAACCTTTCTTCGGCATCATGTAAGCCACACAAGAGGCAAAACCGCTGGTGCGTTCGGAACACCAGCTATATGCGGCCGCAGCTAGCAACAAGTCAAACGGCTACGAATAGGGCTTCCTCTATGGCTTAAACCCGGCGGCAGTAGGAAATCGCCGTGCAGATTTTGAAAACAAGCATTCGTATAGTGCAGCAGTGACCGGAAGGCAGGGCTGACACCAGCACGGCTACGAGCGAATCTTACGCGGTCTGGACCGTACGCGTGCCACCAACGCAGGGAGCAACGCTCCCGGTAGACGGGACAGCGAGCAGTATCTCGGCAGGGGCACGGGTCCGCCCCTCGGGTAGACGGGCAGGGAGCAGTACCTCGGCAGGAACGGGTCGCCCCTCGGGTAGACGGGCAGGGAGCAGTACCTCGGCAGGGCACGGGTCCGCCCTCGGGTGGAGCGGGCAGGGAGCAGTACCTCGGCAGGCACGGGTCCGTCTTTCGGGTAGACGAGACAGGGAGCAGTACCTCGGCAGGGCACGGGTCGTCTTTCGGGTAGACGGGGCAGGGAGCGGTACCTCGGCAAGGCACGGGTCCGTCTTTCGGGTAGACGGGGCAGGGAGCAGTACCTCGGCAGGGCACGGGTCCGTCTTTCGGGTAGACGGGGCAGGGAGCGGTACCTCGGCAAGGCTCGGGTCCGTCTTTGGGTTAGACGGGGCAGGGAGCAGTACCTCGGCAGGGCACGGGTCCGTCTTTCGGGTAGACGGGGCAGGGAGCAGTACCTCGGCAGGGCACGGGTCCGTCTTTCGGGTAGACGGGGCAGGGAGCAGTACCTCGGCAGGGCACGGGTCCGTCTTTCGGGTAGACGGGGCAGGGAGCAGTACCTCGGCAAGGCACGGGTCCGCCCCTCGGGTGTACGGCCCTCGGGGCGTAAACAATGAAGCGGCGCGCCGACTGAGCTGAGGTATATTTCAGGCGTAGAGTGAGTGAGCGCAGCAGACAAGCAAATACTGCAAGCAGGGCCTAAGACGGCGGCCGAGCTTAGGTGTATTTTAGACGTGGTGACGGAGCGAAAACAGCCACCGACCGGCCCTACCAAGACCTCAAATGGGAGGCTTCTTCCTTCTCAATGCTTTCCCGCTTTGGGGTAGTTCTTTTAATTCTGAAAATGAATTACGCGCGGGGCGTCACTTGGTACGTTTTCTGATGCGCTAAGGCCTCCCCTCTCCAATGCTGACTGAGTCTCCCCCCCCCTCCCAATGCCTTTTTTGGGCTCCCTCGCTCAATAAATATGGGAAAAAAGGGATGTTCGATCAAGGAAATCTGCTAACCATTTAAATAAGAATATAAGCTGGGTGCAAAGGGATGAAGAACAGGCTTTCGTTAGTTAACTGTCTGATTTTTTAGAAATGTGTTAAATCCTTGGCATCGGAAACACAAAACTAAGTGACTGCAATTCCGGTTAAAAATCACATTTTGGAGGTCAAGAAGTCAACGTCAACTTTATCGGTCGAGCCTTCTCCTCGACCAATTTTAGGAGGTGGCGCCCCAGTTACGCATTACACATGCATTACGAGGTTTATGCACCGGCTTTGCAGACACATCGTATTGCTTATGCCATATCCAAGTTCGAAATTGACTCCTAGTCTGTTTATCACGACCAGATCGTTCAGATTCACGGACAGTTCACGGTCAGATCACGGTCAGATCACTGTCAGATCGTTCAGATCACGGTCAGATCACTGTCAGATCGTTTCAGATCACGGTCAGATCACGGTCAGATCGTTTCAGATCACGGTCAGATCACTGTCAGATCGTTCAGATCACGGTCAGATCACTGTCAGATCGTTAAGATCACGGTCAGATCACGGTCAGATCGTCGGATCACACGGTCAGATCACTGTCAGATCGTTCAGATCACGGTCCAATCACGGTCGGATCGTTCCAGATGTGTTCAGCTGGCGGGTGTTCCCTCCTGCTGTGACCTGTTGTTATTGCGTGCTGTTGCTCGACTCGATGCAGCAGGAAAGCGCGACCCCACAAAATTCTGGGCACGTGCGTGCTCTTCCTGCAGTCGCTCTCTCATGATTAGGTCAGCATCGGCGTTATAAAGCTGACTTGCTGCGATGAGTGTGGGATAAGTTGAGAATATTTCGTTCTCAACCCTGGCGTGACGCGCCAATCAATGCCTCTTTCCAGGCTATAGGTGGAGAACGCGGTATGGTAGCTGCGGTATGTGCTCTGCAGAGCACAGCACAGTTCAATAGCAGCCAACTACAATTTTCAGCGGACAGTGACATTTTAGCATGTTTTCTTTAAAAGAGGTAAATTGTTAACACATATAGAGGCAAAAGGGTTAAGTTAAAGAGGTGGAAGAGGTAAGTAAAAGAAACAACAGAAGCAACTAAACGTCTCGCGGGGTTGTCACACGGCATCCACCTATGACTGCAGTCTGTGCGGTGGACAGCTGCTCAGCCCGCAGGGACGCCAGTCCAGCCGGCGGAGACAGAGTCCAGCGGCCATCTGGCAGCAGTGACGATAGTTCACACGCTGCCCGGCGTGGAGACCTGTTTGTGGGTTATTCTGGATGTGCAACGGGGCGGTCTGGATTGCTTGGGCGTCGTCAGAGTCGTCTCACTCATCTGGACGACATTCCGCCCATTATATCTCTCCTCCATGACCCCAGCGAGCAAGAAATTTTACGTTTAGAAGTTAGCAGGCAAAGGTGAAAATACGTGCTACCATCCAACGGAAACAATGAGGAATACGGTTAAACATTTTGGATCACCTTTGGCCAATGTGTCTTTCCCGCACAATGCGCTGATGCGTTTGTTGACTTCACTCCCATTCACAGTTGTCTGTGCTATCGCAAGAGGCCGTCTGTGCTCTCGACTTGGCTTACCGTCCCGACTTTTTCTCCCCCATCTCTGCAGCGCACAGACGTCACTTTCTCTCCCCATCCCTGCAGCGCACAGACGTAACTTACTCTCCCCATTTCTGCAGAGCACAGACGTGACTTACCCTCCCCATATCTGCAGCGCACAGACGTGACTTACTCTCCCCATCTCTGCAGCGCACAGACGTGGCTCGGAATGACTATCGACGCGGCCACCAGTGCAGCGCACAGGCGTGGCTCGGAATGACTATCGACGCGGCCACCAGTGCAGCGCACAGGCGTGGCTCGGAATGACATATCGACGCGGCCACCAGTGCAGCGCACAGGCGTGGCTCGGAATGACTATCGACGCGGCCACCCAGTGCGGCGCACAGGCGTGGCTCGGAATGACTATCGACGCGGCCACCAGTCACCTGAGCAGATTGCCTGTCGCCTCTGATGCACGGCCGGCCGCGGGCGGCATCGTAGCAACGATATCGGTCCCTCTCCCGTGCGTGTTTCGCACACCACCGATCGCGTTAGTATGGAAATTCAGCCCTTTGAACCCGCCGCCGTTCCACAACGACGTTGCTCAGCGCTTCGTCCTAAATTGAAGGCGCAACACGGATACGTTCGCCAGAAGAAAAGCACTCAAGGCGTGCCGATATCGGTGAAGATTATCTTCATCCCTCCCGCGTGATGTATGCATAACACCAGCGAGTGGAAGCGTTGCTGTTTTCACAAAGGATTTGCGCTGGTTGTGGTAAATGGCAGCTTAGGCTAACTTGGGCTCAGCATTGCAGTACTTTATCTAATCAACAAACATGGCAGGTAACGATACCATTGCACCGTTTCTGTTCCCTTATGTAATTTTCACTTTTGAATCTTCTCAACAATAATAACCCTGGCAGTTTATCGATCACTCACGTGGCAGATAAGATAAGGTTGCTGCAGCGTAAAGGTTTTCAAAAATGTTCATAAAAGCGGCACTTTAAGCCATTGAGACGTGGATAACGAAACATGACAACAGTTAACAAACAAAACAAACTGTCGAAGCATGGCTTTTGACAGCTCTTTATGTACCCCATTCGATTGTAAGAGCGGTCACTTATGAAACAAGTCTGCTAGTTTTCCGGGAATAGAAGCGGCTCGGATGTTTTGCTGCGATGCGCAACAGTCAAAACATTTTGGCCGAAGGCCCAGTTGGCGTGGGGCAGGCCCTGACGACTCCGTCTCCTATAGGAATGACGATTGAAGAATGACGGGCATTTTTTGAAGTCGAGCGAAGAGAGAATGACAGACAACAGCACAACAATGAAAGACAACAAGAATGACGGGCCAATTTCATGAACGACGAGCAAATCATGGTCTATACCCATTTTCTTACGCATCTTCTTCAAATTACAAAAAATGACGCGAACCTGCAACAAATGAAAAAGACAACTGATTCTCGTGATCCGTTACACCGTACCATTGCAATACCACAGAACCTGAAGCCTTTACGGAAAAGGCTAAGATCAGCCCGGCCTCTCGCACCGGAAAAAAGCACCGGGGAGAACAGAGGGAACCTATGGCACCAGCGTATTTGTTCACTCAAAGTAGAAGGCATTTCAAACTACAGCCGGGTTCCCTGCGGGTGATCAGAAAAATATCCGCTGCTGAATTCAAATAATCTGGTGGCGCTGGACCCCGACCTTGGTCCGTGGCAGGAATCGTCAGTTAAATGTGAGCCTTCAACATTCATGGATGTTACAACGCCAGGAATTTGAGATCTGGCGACGTTCCACGGCTACAAAGCACAGACCAAAGCACCAGTTTAAAAACCGTTGGCTAGCGGCTTGGATTCTGACGTCGCACGGTCTAGGCAAGCCATTTGGGTCCGGTCCAGGGCAGGTCCGGTCCGTTCTAGAGCCGAGCTGGACGGATCTAAAGAATGCCAAGTCAGGTGGTGCATCAATTTCCAGTGCAGGTGTGGTGGGTCTTTCATACTGAGTGGGAGACTCGGCGTGTTGTGTCGCCCAGCCGGCTCGAGTATCTTTCCCGGCTTGAAAGACCCATCCGATTTCCTCCCAAGCGTAGACAATACCTGATTTACGCGCATTCGGATTTTCTCTGAGTCACTCAAACTACTGAAAATCTACCGCTGAATAACAGCCTCAGTCGGTCCCCGTAATCACAAAACTGAGTAGACGGACGAGCCCAACTAGGGTCTTTGTCTACGTTCTTGGAAGCAGAAGTTCTGAAGTTCTGGCAGCTGCGGCGAACTATCGAAACGCTTCGTTGAATGCTAATGAATCAGCTTTCGCGGAGACGAGATAAGCTCGCAAGACCAGTCACTGTTTGCGTGAATATGCGTGTCAGACGATAGCAGCTGCGTCTCGTTTGAGTTGTAGGCCACCGAAGCATGGGTCTGTCTCTTAAGAGAAAGCTGTATGATCTTGGAGTCATCCATTTGACCTTATCCCTTCCTTCAGTTATATAATTTAAGCCGTCTTCACGAAGCATTCCGCGTGCTGTGTAGCATCAGTAGTGCTTTTTCTTTTTTTAATGAGTCTTTCAGCAGGTCTGTTAACAACTTGGCGCTCGAACAGTGCAACCATAACTGGCAAAGACACAAGTGTCCGAATTTCGCCGGCTAGAGTAGTTGTCTGGGAAAGTCCTGTGATCTATGGTGCCGGGACCCGGGAGGCATGATTTTGTTATGATTTCTTATCATGGAACGTCCAAGGTTTGCTGGTAAGTGGCCCCCTGGGTGGAGGAGATGGCCAGTCTGCTTCCGCCGTCCTTGCACTGGGGAGTCTAACGAGTTTCTGCATGTAGTAAGATTCTTGCCATGTGTACAGGAATGGTATCAGTCATCAACTTGGTCGCGTTTGAAATTTCGCACAATAGTTGCCGAGAAAAACATGGGCTCAACGCCTTGCTTGCTCATGTGTGAAATTCTGCGTTAACTAAACAAATTTTCAGTTCTAAGGATAAAAACATTGTGGCTGCTGTTAAATGACAAACGATTTTTTGCTACAGAGGCCAGGTCACACTTATCATGGCTGAGGTTTGTACTATGAAATTAAAACCATGCATTACATGCTAGAGACTCATTATTATACCCCATGACAACTATTATCAGAAAATTTGTGGAGTAGACCTCGAATGATGCTCGTTTACGGCCTCGCTTTCAGTTACTGACATTCGACGTGTAGGAAACAAGAAACATCGCTTGAACGTGGACGACGTGATATTCTTGGGAGGTCACCGAAGTACAAAATGTAGTTTTTAGGAATCAAAAGACGCCTATGCAGAGGTATGACCTTAGATGTACGTAGTGGCTTAAGCAGAGGTATGACATGCCCTTGTTCATTAGCCTAGAATAATTATCATTCAAAATAGATTCACAAATAAATTAGTCTTCACGAATTAAGTAATGCCTTGTGATCGTTCTCAAAAATGAGTAGACACATTGACATATTTGTTAAGTCGTAGTCTGAGAGCAAATGGCGAAAGCATGACATATGATTATCACATGATATCACCGAAGACAAAGATAGTTCTCTAGTGAGAGAATATAACAACCAAAGCACATTTATAATATGTTAAGCATACCACACTGGTGGCAATGAAGTAGGGCAGCTGACAGCTCCGTTGATCCACCACCTGGGCTTGGGTTCTACACTCACAATATCCGTCACCAGTGGCGTGTCTTGTAACATGTTACGCTGAACTGATCGGGTGAGCCACTCCTCACAATATGTGACACACTCGCAGTTGGTCGCGCACTAAACCACGCAACAAGCTGCTACAGAACAGCATGAGCTCCGCCCACCGCTGCTGTCAGCCCGGCTGGCCAGAGTCGACCTGCCGCCGGCCGCCAGTGTTCTCACAGCCCGACAGGGCAGCGGTGGTCATGGCTGGACTATGCCCCGCACCCGGCACCGGCAGCAGGGCCGACCCGTCCAAAAACAACGTCAGCAGAGCTGGCGCGGTGCCAGCCGGCCGTCGGCCGCCGTCCCGACCCGGTGACAGGTCACTGACCGACCTCTGTTGCCGGCTAAATTAATGCCGACCGGGGTTATCATTCTCACCATGACAGGTCATTGAGAGGATTCTGTCATCATCCATGCTGCTGCTCACTGGGGTCATCGCTCCCACCCCTACAGGTCACTGAGAAGAGCCTGTCAGCATTAACACCGCGTCCGGGTGAACGCCTTAAGCCCCCACCGTTAGGTCACTGAACGGAACTTGTCATCATCCGCACCAGTCATCGCAGTCATCCTTCTGACCTGTAAAGGTTTTTGACCAATTCTTAACTCGCCCACGACAATACTTGCTGTAGTTATTACTCTCACCCCCTACAGATCACTGTCGGACACTCGGTATCACCCACACCACCACTTACTAGGCCAGCACTCCGGACACGCACAAGTTACAGGTAATCCTTCGGCATCGCCCGCACAAAGCCCGTGCGTTTAACATTAAGTAATTAGTTGCCGACTCCATCCTTTAGCGGCTGTAAAACAATAATAAAACATACAAAACGAACTGCCTGCAATCACCGCACCGGCATCTGACCAATCATAACCTCGCATCAGTCGCTGCACCGGCATCTGACCAATCACAACCTCGCGTCAATCGCTGCACCGGCATCTGACCAATCACAACCTCGCGTCAATCGCTGCGTTGGCATCTGACCAATGACAACATTGCGTCAAATGCTGCATCGGCATCTGACCAATCACAGTCTCGCGTCAATCGCTGCATCGGACATCAGCATTCGTCGTCGGCACACCATAACCTGCCGGGTCAATCCACGCCGGCGCCCGCCGTGACTCCCGCGGGACCGTGGCTGCCGCAGCCTCGCGCCCATGCCAAGTGTGACCGCCGGAAGCTCGGGTCACGCTCGCTGGTCTTGCCCGCCGCGCCGAAGCAGTGCCGGGCCGTGTATTGTACCGGCGATGACCGCTGTCCACTGCGTCTGGAGCGAGTCATTAGCGGAACATATGGTCCCCATGCCAGGGTCGGTAGTCGCGTCAGCGTAATGAATCTCGGCAACAAT